AATAGTTTTGAATCTCTGCGTATTAATCTTAATGTGATGAAGATATCAAAATATTTTCTCACAATTGTATGTGAAGAAGAAGAGCTGAGGGGTTCCACATTAAAGAACTTTTGAGATGAATGGATGGTCAGATGGACAGACACTCCTCTGAAACACACTGATACAGCTCTTAAGTTGCCTATCCACTATTAAGATCACAGAAGTTTGCTGATCTGTTTTAAATGAAATAAATTTAAAAATACAGAAACATGGCCCAGGATATACAGGTTCTTGTGTTTTGTGTGGAGAAACATCAGTATCCTTGACACCCAGTATTGTGCATCACATATTGCACAGTTGTCTGTTTTTCCAAGTGACTGCTAAATCCTTGTTTTTCAATAACACAATCATTTGAAGAAGCTGAATAGATAGATCTGAATTATAATTAAAAATATTCGCTAATTCAGAGGTTTCCAAACCGCATCATGTTTGTGATGTGTGCAAGTTGCTTTAGCAACCAAGCTCCTCCTGTGCAGGTACATGTTCTGGGAGTGTTTGCTGCTGTCACAGCCTTTGTTCATGGGAATGCAGAGGCAGAGTAAATTTGGGTACATCTCTCAAGGAGTTATTTAGAAAAATGGTTGCATAAAATTTAACATCCTAGTTTATTACGTTTTCTTAAAAACTTTTTAATTCCTAAAAATACACTGACTAATTGAATTAGCTGAATGTCTAAACCATTCTTATGTAAAATTGGTGTGGTATTTGTAAAGGTGATATAAAATGTAAATTAACAATTAATTCAAATATGACCCTCTTTACCTAACAATTGTTCTATTTTATAATTTTGTACTTTACAAAACAAAGAGTCTGCTATTTTGGGGTTCAATTTAGTGTATCTGATAGCATGCCACCTTCAAAGGCAGGGGCAAAATGGGAGACTTCCCTTTACAGCAGCCAAAAAAGTGAATTAGACTTTTCCTATGTTTTTCATGTGGAAAAGACTGGTACTGAATGGATATTTCACTAATCTCAATTTGTTAGCCATCATGCACATAGGCATTTGAAAATATCCTTTAGGTTATTAATATGAAGTCAAATTAAATAAAAAATTCACATTATATACATTCATGGAATCACTTCTCTTAAGCACCAGTGACATCACATGCTGCTGAATTATCTTGAAGTGATCTTAATTACTACAAGTTTCCTAACTGTGTCACTACCTCCAGCAAAAAGTTTCATTATTAATTGATCCTTGCTTGCACATGAGCTCCCACATTCCCTGTGACATTCATCAACTTTGTCAGTTGATGTCTAATCAATTGGGTTCTGTTTTTCTAAAAGCAAAACTGAAGGAAAACATGTTAACATTTTTAAATACTGTAAATTAGGTTTAATAACACAAATTTTTATTGTAGCATATATATGGTCATAGTTAGAAGTTTATAAAAGTGAATACTGCTTGCATTTACTTTTAAGTACATTGGGATATTGATAACACTTGTGGAGGGAAGAAACAATTTGACAGAAACTGTTTCTGTTATGCTTTATGCCTCTTAAATTCTTCTTGTTTTCAGAAGACCTAATCAGATAGTCATTGACCAGATCCATAGAAATAGAATGACTGACTACTACTTCAAAATGATGACTTGAAGTTTAAAATATTAAAACAGGTTTTTCCCAAATTAATTATTTTTGCATTAGTGCTGTGGCTATGTTCAATTTATAGATGTTTAACTGAGAATAATTTTAAGCACTTGTCAAATTTGTGAGGGTTTAAAAAAATTTAAGGGGTCACACGTTTTATTGTTAACAGAGGGTGTTGAGAGAGACTGTCAACACCCTGTGAAGCATTAAGCTGTTGCCTTTGATGTGTAGGCAGCACCTTAGGTCTCACAGGGCTGTACTGTAAGTATGTGTCCATATGTTCAACCCACTTTGATGTGTTCGGAGATCTTGGGCCAGCAGTATCCGTATGCTACATCACAGCTACAGGAGGTAAAGCATGCCATCTGGATTCCTGTTCCTTTTACTTACCTTGTGTCATGGCTTCTTCACGGTAGCAGAAAGCCTTCTATTTTTATTTTTTTTTACCCTGCTATTCAAAATTATTTGGTAGTTACAAAAAAAAAATCTGTTTTGAGCAGGCTTTAATGAATTTTAGTTTGGATGTCTATTAACAATCTCCTAGAAGGGATGAGAGACAGGAATGGGTTTTCTAAATTCAAAATGTATTCCAATACTCATGCTATGACAGTAAAAAGAGAGTGTTTGAGATACCTTTATTAGCTAAGAACACCGTTTCTGTGTTGCGCAGTACCCTTTATATCCCAAGTAAGTCTACTGATCTAGATTTGGATCCAAGCAGATCTTGTGGGGGTCTTACTAGCACTGGGTGCCAATAAACTGAATGCTGTCTATATTGCAAAACACTTGCTGTGATCAAATCCAGGGAAAAAATCCTCTGGTTTTTTGATGGGAAGTAGCTCATAAGACAGATGCGTCACCAAAAAAAGACTTGATTTCCTATTCTCAATAATTTCTCACTGGCTGTTCATGCATAAACATTGACATGAGTGACATACAGACTAACATTTGTACCCCTCACTGAAAGCTGCCTTATTAAGAAACCTGGTTCTTCTCTCTGAGCCCAAGCTGTATTTCAGGGGACTGTTTTTAACAAAGATCTTGCACAGATGAGGCACATCAACCCATGACACAGGAGCTCTGCTCATTCTGTGTGAACCAGGCTTGCCAGAGCTCATCCCCCACACCTCCCCCTTTATTGGCAGTGCTGGGATCTCTGGCACCAGCAAAATGTGCATACAGATAAGGTATCCCAGAGATCTTCTGCTTTGTGCAGCTTCTGTGGAGCAGTGTGTTCCTCAGTATGTTCAAACTCTTGCTGCAGTCCTGCTTTCAAGGTCCCCTTTCCCCCCATCTGTTTCTTTTTTTAAGTTTTGGTCAGGAAGAATTTTCTCTTCCCTGAATTTTCCCTGACAATCCTGAGGGTTTTTTGTGTGATTTTGTTTTCTTCCACTAGCTTACTTGAAGATGTATTGAGTGCAGTGGGGACTTGCTCCCTTGTGTTCCTGCCTTTGAGGGTGACCTATTTGTGTTCAGATCTCAGTGGGACAGGACGTGTGTGTTGTGTTGCAGTGCTGCCTGCTCTGCTGAAATTTCATATACATGTGGCATAGCCACAGGACAAATGCCCAGACCATATGCCCTATCACCTTATTTGGGTACTGAGAGTTTCCCTGTGGTTTCATCTCCTTCTGGGGGATGTTTTGGCAAAACATTGCCATGGTCCTTGTGACATTCCCCTTCACCACCTTCTGCTGCATTGCTGGTGGCTTGCCCAGTTCAAAACTATGTGGAGATTTCCCTGAATTGCTGTATCTATTTTTTTTCTTTTGTTTTTTTTTCCTCCAGGGAAGCATCATTGTGTGGTATGGAAAAAACCTTTCCTCTTGGATCTCAATTTGACAGTCTGAAGGCTCATAGCTTATGCTAGCAGGCAGAGCACAATTTAAATACCAATTTCCTAAAGCTTGGATAAGGAAAACGTACTATATTTTTTCTTGACATATTCGATCACCTTGTGACCAGTCTGTTTGTACCAAGGGAAAGCAGTCAATTTACACAGAGTGAGTGTCAGAAATAGCAGTCTGTGGGGGATACACTAAAAACACATTGGAAGAGTTCCAATATGGTTACATTGATTGTGGCATATGGAGAGGAATTGGGACGTGCTGGTTGCCAGTCTAAGAACCATCTTTGGTTAGGAATGTTTCCCAATGTTGTCCTCCTGTAGTTTTGAACTACGAGCAAAACATATTTTCCAATGGAACATATATTTTATTTTGTAAAGGAAAAGGAATAAATGACCAACGAAAAGTACCCCTCACCTACCCCCCAGAAAAGTGGAGGTCTAAACAGTGGCAGCAGCAGAGGGGGAATGTGGGTAGGCACTGGGAGGGCTTGGATGCTGTGCTGTGTGGCTGGTGGCACCCAAGGCTGTGGGTGCCCTTCTGAGGCACAGCACTTGTGGGTGTGTGTGGCTGTGCCCTGGCACTGCTGCTCAGGGAGTGTGTCTGTGCCAAGGGGCACAGGGGGTGACTGCCTTCCCAGAGTGTGTGCACACCACGCGTGTCCTGTCCTTGATATTGAGCCCCTCAAGGTGTGAATCAAACTTTGCGATTTTTTTTGTTGTTGTTAATCAGTAGCCATAGCTGGACAGTTATGGTTGAGCAATTGCATTGTGAATGTTGTATGGTTGGCTAATTTTTTGTTTTAAGGAGAAGGGAAGACAATTCCAAGATGAATGGACTGTCTGGATGGGAGCCACCAGGAGTGAAGCCAGCAGAACTGAGCAGTAACTGTGGGAAAGGGAATTCCAGCTGTGGGCGACCACGACCACCTACTCAAAACAGACCCCAGACTCAAATGGGCAGAACTGTGCCTGTGTGCTAATTACCATGGCAAGTGAGACGCGTGACTAGCAAACAGGGGGCTGAATACTAATTAGTAGAAAAATTGCGCAATTTACGGCCAACGAACGCCGGTGCCTTTGTTAAAAATGTAATCAATAGTGTAAAGTTTTGTAATGTAATGTAATCAATAGTGTAAAGACCTAGCCTTTTGTGTGTTACCACCTAGCTCTGCGCATGAAACAAGGCAGCACCCGGCAACGACAACACGGCGACAGGGACACACCGCACACACCGCACACACCGCACGCACACACCGCAGACACCGCAGACACCGCACACACCGTACGCACACACCGCACACACCGCACACCCCGCACGCACCGCACACACCGCACACCCCGCCCGCACCCGCACGCTCCCCAGCCGCCCGTGCGGAGCGTGCTGCGGTCGCCCGCCCGCGCCCGCCTCCCCTCCGCCTGCCTCCGGCTGCCTCCCGCCTGTTCCCCTCCGTCCCCCACCTCTCTGCAGCCTGTCCCCCGCCTTTCCTCCGCCCTTGCCCCGCCTGTCCCGGTTCCCCCCCACCCCCCGCTCTCCGCCCGGCGCGGCCGGGCCCGGCCCGTTCGCAGCCCCGCGGCCCGGCGGGCATGGAGCGGCTGCAGGTGGACGCGCAGGCCCTGGAGGAGTACGCGGAGTACCGGCGGTGAGAGCACAGGCCGGGGTCGCTGGGGCGGGGGCCGGGCGTCTCCAGCCGTGCCGCATCCCCCGCAGCCGGCCCGGCCCGGGATTCCTCCCGGAGGGATGCCCGCCTCCGGCCCTCCTGAACCGGCCGCCTCGGGGTGTGCGGCGGCTTCGCTGAGCCGCATCGCTGCCGCGGGCGGAGTGCCGCGGTGTGTGCCCCGGGGAGGACGCGCTGCCAGCCGCGGCTGTCAGCGGCGGAGTCACGCACGGTCCCTCGCATGCAGGGCAGCGCGAGGTGCGCTGTGAGAGGCCATCTGGCCTGCCAGCGGCATCCCTGCCCACGGCAGGGGCGCTGGAATCAGGTGGTCTTTAATGTCCCGTCCAGATTGTTTGATAATCTGCCAGCCGTGCTGCTCTTTCAGAGTACAAGGAATTCTGTGCATCACGAGTTCCAAGTTTTGCATTGTACAGATCCCTTACACTGCTGCGTGTCTTTGCTAGTCTTGTCAGCGGTCCTCTGGAAAGGCTGAACAAAAATAAACACAGTCATTGTGATGAGATCTTAATTTAGTTCGGGAAAACCTTGAGTAAAACACCAGAGGAGGGCACGGTGGTATTTCTTACATAAGATGTGCAGTGATTCAGTGGGTGTTGGCTGGGCTGACATGCAAATGATAGCGTTGTGCTGGCACATTATTCTGGTGCTCTACAGTGCTGGCAGTGCACAAATCCACAGCATACTCGATAAAGAATCACTCGTTCAGCATATTTTAGCATATCCAGTAAATAATATCTGAAATATTTACAGATATTAATAAAATCACTTTTAGCATAGGTAAGTACTGCAGTTAATTCTCAGTTGTATTTTATGTATTTTATTTATTGTCCTTAATTATTTCCATAAATGCAGAATTCAGATGCTGCTCCAGAGTTCCAGCTATGCAGTGACCTTGAGTTTTAACCTACTGATAGCTTAATTGAGGGATACAGCCCCCACTAACTTCAGCTACAGAAACTAGCATAGTCTTCTTGCAAATCAGAAGACAACTTGTATGCTTTGTTTGTTGCTTTGATGGCAGTGGGGTTGCAGCTGAATGCTCACACTAGACTAAGATTAATCTCCTGACACAAATTTGCAGTACCGTTGGGTGTAGATGGGTGAAGTGACTTGCCAGAGGTCAGTCAAGAAGTCTGAGGAAGAGCTGGCTGCTTACATGATCCTTGATGCTCATTGCTTTTATTTTTTTCTTTTTTTTTCTTTTCCCAAAAGGACCCCTGGTAGTCTGCTGTGTTAATTTTTTTCTTCCCTCTTAGAACTGGTTTTCAGTCCATCAGAACAAATTTTTTAAAAGTCAAAAAATATATTCTCTAAAAATCAGCTATAGTTCTGTTCAATTATTAGAAGAGTAATATGAAATACAAGATTTGTTTTGTTTTTACAGATAAAGTTCTGTTATAATACATATATTTTAAATATGAGAAATCTACTTTTATTGTCTTCATTTTCTTATGGCTTTTTTATGCCATGTATACAGAATTGTAGGTGATGATGATGGAGGAAAGCTCTTTACTCCTGAGGAATATGAGGAGTACAAAAGAAAAGTATTACCAGCTCGGCTACAGAACAGGCTGTATGTGAGCTGGAGATCACCAACTGGCATGGACTGTAAGCTTGTGGGACCAGAGACACTGTGCTTTTGCACCCACCGGTGGGTAGCTTCCCTCCTTTTACACTTTAGTATTTTTAAAAGTCAGGAAAATGTGAAGTATTCCTAGACACATTACAGCAGCACACTGGCAAATTTATTTAAGGTTTAAGGGTTGAGAAAATTAGGTTTTAAATAGTAAGAACTGTTTGTACATGCAAATGTCAATATATTTTTGAAACCAAAATGATTTTGTAGTCTCAATAAATGTGGGTGCAAGGCATGAGTTAATGTAGATGGTAGTGCTCTCAAAATGAGGATATCTGATATTTATGTAATGAATAGATGTAAAACCACCTGCTAATATGCATTTAATTGAAATTTCACTATTAAGAGTAAATAGTACAATTAAAGCTACTTTAAAACAAAACTTGTGAATAGCAAGCCTTTCAGGTAGTCTTCCGATAAATACCAACAAAGTCATAAAAGTCATTACCTTTCCTGTTTTAGGTATAAACAGCACCAAACGGACTACGAGGCGCTTCCCCAGGAGCGCCCCATCAGCGTGCCCTGCAGGGTGAGGCGCTGCCCGTGCCAGTCCTTCCGCGTCGTGCCCCTGAACGGCACGCAGCCCGTCCGCTGCCGCTGCAAGCACTTCCCCGAGCAGCACAGCGCTGCGCCCGGCCTTCCCTGCAACTCCTGTAAGCCGCCCTCGGCCAGCAAACTCAGCAGGGAGGGATCTGTGCTCTGCCCAGATGTGCGCTGCTCTTGTCTCCAATGCGTGTTTTCATCCTCGGGAAAGGATGAGAAGTGGGAAGGAAGGCATCACGTTTTGCACAGGAGGGTTTAGAACAACATCCTTAGTTTCCCCAGGTCCTGTGAAGGAGTTTAAATCTCTGAGTGATTCAGATAGGTGCTTATGGAGAGATGCCTGAAGTTAGTATGAAAGCACTGTTTGCAGTCTGTCACCTCCAGCTGCATGCCTTTTCTCCCTGAACTTGGTACTTTGAGAGAGAGAAGCGTTGATCTCCATTCCTCTATTGCCTAGCTGACCAGAACATTAATATATTTCTATGTTTTTTCTCAAGTCAACAGGAAGTAGTGCTCTGTTCCCCAGTAATTCTGTTGCCAGCACTCCTTCATGGCCATGGAGATTGTGGGTCTAGAAATGCAAATGGGAATGGAATTTCAGCAAGATCTTAGAGAAGGGATGAAGAGGAAGTTTTTGCTACTGTTGTTTGAGGTTAATGTTATGAAACAACAGTAATTATTAACCACAGGAAATAAATAATGCATAAAGATGTTTTAGTTTGAAACCTCAAATTACATAAGATGAAGGTTTTTTTTTCTTTCTGGACTCCCTTATTGTTATTAAATTTACTTCATGGAATGCCTCTATTTTGTACAGAAAAAAAAAGTGTAAGAAACTTTTGCTGGTTGAGAATCATATCCCACAGAATAAACCATAAAATATCTACATGACAATCTTTCAAAAATTTGCACTAAGTAATGTGAAAATCTTAGATGTGCAGCTGGATAATTCAGACTGAATCCATAGAACACAGTGTTTTCAATATTTGTATATATAATGCCTTTTGCTTAGTGTTTCTCAAAAATACCAGACACTTTGGAGGGCTTCACAGATTTTGCAGTGAAGTGCCAAGAATTTCTTCTATTTTGGACTTTTTTTGTTTTAATGTAACAGAATTAGTCTTGTCCAATGTTGATAAATCTAAGATGACAGATAAGTTATAACTGAAAAACTTAACAGGCTGTTGCTCTGTTTATGTTGCATATACTGCATTCTGTGTCCAAACATAGAGTTCTGTTACTGAGGAGTACCCAAAATAATATGAAAAATCTTCAACATTTTCAAGAATGTAATCAACATATTATGAAAGACTTAAAGAAATTTTTCATGGTGCTCCACAAAATGAACTGTGAGCTGGGAGCAGGGTGATTTGTATAATGAAACATTTGCAACATCACTTCCTCAATTTCTTGGTCACATCATTGCTCCAGAGGGGCTTTGATGACAGTTTTACGTGTAGCTAGGGCAGACAGGTCACTTCACTCCGTTTCTGAATGTCACATAACATTTGTATAACTATTTCAATTCCATCCTCTGGCTGTGTAAGCTTAAAAAACCCCTGAAAGTCAGTCTAATGATACTCCTGTGTACAGCCCATTTTTTTGCTTCCACAGTCTCTATTTGCTACTGAGAAAATGTTGCTAATTTAAAAAGATAGTTAAATTGTGATTTGTGTAATAAATTGTGGTATGAAGTTTCTTAGCCCTGCAGCATTGATACATGCATACACCTTTGGAGGGAATGCTGCCAAAATGCTGGCAGGTTGTCAGCTTTACCCAGTATCAGAATTTTTCTTTTTATTAGTTGTAAATGGGTGAAGAGGTGTGTTGCTAATGACAATGAACACAAGTTGCAACATAGGAAATACAGTTAGAATACACAAAGAAATTTCTGATCCAGCATTGGTCCAGGCTGCTCAGAGAGGTGGAATCTCCATCCTCAGAGGTACTTGAAACTTGGCTCAGTTAGATCCTCTGACTAATGATCTAATCCCAGGAGTCATCATTTCTCTTTTATACAGGGTTTTCAGACAGCTGGATGCTTAAATCCCTCTTATATAATCACCATCTCTCTTATTTATTTGTTAGGTTCCAAGTGCTCAGGCTTTCATAGCAGCTTTACCTGTGCATGTGGTCAGCCAGCTTACGCTCACGAAACCGTTGTGGAAACCAAAGAGGAGCGCTTGGCCCAAGGAAAGCCCGTGGGGCAGGATGTTCCTTACGCTGCCATGGGAGGACTGACTGGTTTCAGCTCACTAGCAGAGGGTTACATGAGGCTTGATGACAGTGGAATAGGTATGTGCAGCTGAAATTTTAATTCTCCACCTAAGTTTTGAAAAGTACTAAATCAAAATAGAGTTTCAAAGCTTGACGGCAATTTGGAGGAATAGGGGTAGAACTGCAGAAAGACTGTTCCTTTCCAGCTGTCCTCAAGGTTTAAGGCATCACATTGTCCTACTCACTGTAGTGACTTGACAAAAAAACCTCTTTTTCAAAAATTCTGGTGTTCAGCCCAGTTGCTTCTGCTTGAAAATCAGCATATCCTTTAGAGAGAACATGTAACTTATAATACTCCCTGTAACCTAGTATTTCCATGTTCTATTTATGTTCGTCCTTTATCCTAATACTTTCCAGCTATTTCTTTGTTATATATTTACAGCACTTTTTTTTTTCCAAACTCAAAGGCTAATAGCTGTTCAGCATAAAAAATAAGGGGTAATTGGTAGAACTTTTTAACAGACATGTTACTTGGTCTTGATACTTTTTCTGCTCTGTAATTTTGTGTCATTTAGTAACACACATGTTTTGTCCCAAAACACTGTTTTATCTATTATTGCCACATACCCATAATTTATTTTTAAAATTCTGATCTGGATTCCTGGATTCGTCTGAAGTTTAGAAACTAAACCATTACTGTAGTAATTGAAGAAACAAAGCTTTTCAATGCTTTTGAAGTCATCCTTGTAAAGGTTTTGTTAACTCCAGTTTATGGGGTCTGTGCTGAGAGTTGTAGATATGAATCTGTAACCTTGTTTTGACCCCAGCATGTGTATTAGGACTGTATCTCCTGGAGTTAATTATTGTTTCCATTCACTTTATTTTCTGACAGGTGCTCCCTCTGCTGAACTTTTAGAAGCCCCCATTACTAGCATGGATCATCCATTTCTGAAAGCATTTCAGGGACCTTCGAGTTCCGTTCAAACCACGCCACAAATAGCAGGTGATGTATAAGTAGGATAATGCAAATACAAAAAGAACTTAATATATATTGAATTTATTTTATTAATGAATTGAAGGATGCTCAGGGCATTAAAATGAATACTGAAGCTTTGCTCTGTCAGTACAACATTCATGTTCTTCAAATGCTTAGAATAACTTAATGCTTGTTATTTTTGCTTGTGATGAGTTTTTTACCTAAAATTATTTTTTTCTTAGTGCTTGTTATCTTTCCCATCAATGGTGTCATGTATTCATTGCATCAGTTTTTAAAATTCTTAATTCCTCTTAGAAACTCATCATATCTGAATGGGTTGTACATATTCAGCGCAATCTCGTGAAATTGCCTTCTGCCAGAAAGCTTTTTCTACATGAGATTATGGATCACTTGCACTTATTTTATGTTCCTTATTTAGTACAAAAATGTACCAATTAATATAACAGTTGAACTCCTTTAAAACAATTTATAGTAGGTGGAAGCCTAGACTAAACAGGTTTCTCTTTGGTCCCAAATGCTGTGTTTTGCCTTTTGTTACTTGCCTATAAAGGTGAGTTCCAAATTTAAATGGGTTTTGCCAAATGTAAAACATATCTGATGGAATAGCAAGTATCATTAATAAAAAAGGGGTTTAATAAAAATAATTTAATTTAAAATTTAATGAAATTTAATAAAATTAATTTAATAAAAAAGGGGTTTTGTTTTCTGTTTATGTTTTTCAGGTAGTTCAAGTGCCACAGGACAAGTTTCTCATGGAAAACAATCAGAAGCTGATGACATGGCTTACTTTGAAAAACGCTATCAAGAACGGGCAAGTTACTTAACTTGCTTAATTTATTGCTTAATTTAAATACACTTTCACAAGAGTATATCTAAACCCCATAAATGTATGATTTAAGTGGCATATAAATGCATTATATAATTCCTCCTCAATTGCTGACAAAGCTAGCTTCTTAACATAAATTTTGAAATACAGTTATGAGCTACTACAGGATTTCAGAGGTCGGTCGTGTGTGGGATGGCATTTACCTTAACCAGGCAGATTTCAATTGAGGTAACTCTCTGTTACAGAAAACCAAAACATTTTACTATGTGACAGAAAGAAACAACAACACAGAGTCACAGAAACTCCCCTGTGACATTTAGGACTATGTGTTTGCTATCTCACTTATAAAATGTTATAATTTTCTTTTTAACGACTGTCTGTCTAAATTTGGTCAAATTTGGTCTACCTTTCTTAGATGATCTGTATCACTCACTTAGAGGTTCCTCCTCCACCACACTATCTTTAGTTTAAATGCCCTATGGTGTAGGTTATTCACATGTTTAAATACCTATTTTCTCACATTAGCCCTTTGGCTCCACCATCTCGACTGTTTATGAATTCTTTTGTAAAGCAATGTTGCATAACTAACTTTTAAAATCTAAACTGTTTTGCTATTTTACATGCTGGCTTGCAACAAGGTTTTTTTGTCAAGGAGAAAGCTGTTCTAACTTTGTGAAATTTAAAATAGTTTTCTTCATTTTGTTAATCATCAGAAATTATGGACAGATGTTACAAATATTACGTTGGTTCATAGAAAACATCAAATTCAAATTTCTCAGTTTCTTTTTCCCCCAGCGATTTTATTTTCTTTGGAAAAGGTAGTAGAAATTTTAGATAAAAACCTCAAGCCTCCAAAGGGGGAATGGTGATTTAAAATGCATTTTTGTGTAGACCAACAACATTTGCTTAGCAGTAAGTTAATTTGTAGACATCCCAATGAGGTCTTGTTTCCTTTTGGTATTATTTTATGATGCGAAAAAGCATGTGAATTCTTTTTTTCTTGTATTTTTAATAGCAGAGTATGTGTTAGATGAGATGCAAAATCTCTGCATCCCTTTGAAATAATTGCTCTAAATATGACTTCATTCACTAGTGTAACAGTACTTAAGAAAAATTGTGGCTTCTAAAACCAACAGATATATTTGTTTGGATAAATAGTCTTACTACGAAATGACAGAGTGTCAATGTGTAGCTGTTGATAAATTTTACAACTCTACAAGAGCCTGTTGTGTAGAAAAAATCTTACAGGAGGAAGTCGTGGCCTTGTGGGTCGGTGGGGAGGCTCTGAGATGAAGGTTCAGCACCTTTCCCGTGTGGTTTATGTGTGCTGGTTCATCTAACTGTGCCTGTTAGACATCTGCAATAAAACTGCTCCACCTTTCATTGACTCAGAGATAAACTCTGGGCATTCCTGAGACACACTGGCCTTGAGGGACACTCAAATACCTCAACTCCAATTATCAGAGATAAGGCAGCCTGGTTGCATCAGGGGAGGAGCTGCAGTGCCATGGAAGCGCTCCTTTGTCTGCAAATGGGAGCAGTGCTAGGTTGGGATAATAACGTTGTGTGCCTTTCTCCACTGCATGTACCACCCTGGTAAATTTGTGACTGGATGTAGAAATTTAAAACTGCATTGTTAGCCAATTTGCAAATCAGTGTTTGAACCGCTGATGGTGTCTTTCTTTGTTACAGCTGAAAATGGAGAAGGCTGCTAAACGGAAAGAGAGGAGTCCAGTGCTGTCAAAGAAGCCATGAAATTAATAAATAAATATTTATTATTTGGCACATTTTTCATTAGTGCATTGAGTATTTTTCTCTGTATGCCTATCTGTATTTATTAATTTATTTATTATGTTCTTTTGTTCCTTTGCTGAAATTAATTTTCAATTATCTCATTGTAATAAAATTGGTTCTTTAATGAATGTGTTTCTAATCTCCAGAACTGTTATTACACAGATATTTCTTTGAAAATGGAGAAGCATATTTAGAGACTTGCAGGTCTGAGGGTTAAGCTCTGAGAGTTTAAGGTCTGAAAGAATAACTTTGTATTCAAGTATTAGGTTGTAGGAGGGCAAAGAAAATATATGTGTTATACTTAGACTTTTATGATACATCTTCTTTATTTGTAGAGTCCTTTAAATGCATCTTGGTTATGGATGTTATGTGGTGAGATTTGTTCTGTTTATATTGACATTTTAATATTTTCTTTAAATCTTTTTCCCTTTTCTGTTGATTTCATCTCCTAGACATAAAATTCAAACATGGCCTTTTTCTCTCACACTTCTGTAGGCTCCGTTCTTGCCATCATATAATTTTTTTTTTTTAAATATGACATTCTGTACACTTGCAAACCCACTTCCACACTTATGAGCTACTTGAAGGGATCTTGCTTGCATACTTTATCCCAGATTTCTCTGGTGGTATTCTCCCAATTCTGTTTGTCTGTTACTGTCATAACAATTATTATACTAAAATACTGAAAACCCTAAGTGGAAATGGTTATGTTATTTATAGCATGTAAAGCAATAATTGCATGCTGTTTGGTACAAACTTATTTATCCCAGAGATTCATCATGTCTAGTCCAACACAGACTGAATCACCTCAGGGAGATGTGCTTCTGTATTCTTTGTCCATATTCACAGCTGTGCCAACATATGTTGTATTAAAGGTAGTGGACAGGAAAATACGAAATTTAGTGAATATGTGGTGGTTTAATTCTGCAAAGCAGCACAGCACTAACTTGGTACAGAATAACTGGCAGAGAGTGCAGCTTAGGAGGCAAAGGCAGAGCCTGAGTTAACTGATCCTGCTTTGAGAACAGAGAGGTGTACGTCAGTTTTTTCTTAAAAATACCTGTAGGTGTCTCTTGGACTGGAGGCTTTACAGGAGATGTGTGTACTGAAGCTTTACAGCAAGAATTGGGAGAAGCCTACAAAGCTTTGTTTCCCATTGGAGGGAATGCCTCCATGTGCCTGATGGGCAAAGGAAAAGAGGTGAGTTTGAAGGCATTTACTGCAGAGCAGCTTGGGTTTTGTTCAGATGTCACCTGTGGTGTGAAGGTTCAGTTTTAAGAGAGCCTTTTACATTTAACTCTGACCTATACTGCCATTATTACAGATGCCAATCAGAGAGGCTAACCTGTCACTTTAATTTAAATGCATAATGCATTGAAGTGTCTAATGAATGTTTTAAAAGTACCTTTACTGTTAAATTCTGCAGTTGCGAGCTGCTTTAGCCTAATAAATGAAAATACTAATTGGAACTCCCTCTTCTGGCCCTAGCCAGCAATCCATTCTGCACATCTTGGTCTTGAAAATAAATGGGGTTTTCACAATGTAGCCACAAGAAACCAACAAGTACAAATAACATTCACAAAGAAAAGTTAAAAAAAACCACAGAAAAAGTGTTTCAATTTTTCAAAGAGATTATTGCAAACTTAGTAATGGAAGTTTACTCTAGTTTCCTGTTTATCCCTGTTACTACACCCATTGGGGAATGCAGTTCTGGAAATATTTGTGTGTGTGTTTTGCAGAAGTGAGCTTTCTCCCAGCAAAATATTTCTAAAGAGAGAGGTTACAAATAGTTACAAAAACTTTTATTTTGTGTTCTTTTTGATACTGAGAGCATACATTCTAGGAAATTATTATTGCTTTACATTTTGAGTTGACAATATTTGTCTGTTTTAAATTCTGTCAAATTCAGTCCTACTAAACTGTACATTGATAATCAAAAACTGGTTTTATTAAAGTAATTAAAAATATTCTGTGCTTTAACTTATTTACTGTTTCCACTCTAAGGATATAAAAAGTTACTACATTTATTTATTGTTACTTCTTTTTAGTTGGAAAACAGGTTGGATCATAAAAATGTCAATGGCATTAAATACTGGTTAGGAGCTCTGACCACTTTTCACTCATGTTGATGACGTCCAAGCAAAAGAAAATTGCTTTCCTTACTAGAAGGCATGTTTTGACTTCTTAGTATTTGCATACCACTTTTTTTTTCTGAAACTTTATTGGTATCTATACACGAAAAACCAGGTACAATATATCTCATAATGTTGCTGGCTGTGAAAACTGGACACTGATGTCATATCTTAAGTGAAATTTGAATTTATCCTAAAAACCCAATAGTCATTTTGCAGGATCAATATTGCAACCTCCAATTCTATTCAAAAATTTCTTTATATGTCTGTTAGAAAATTTATTTTTTTTAATTATAAAAGCAGAGAGCAAATTCTAGTACGTGTGCCATTAGCAGTGCTCATTAAATAAAGAGCTGGGTTTAGCAGGTACTTGCTAGTGGTTTGTTTTCCTGAGAGCAGCCATGAACTTTGAACAAAATATCATGGGACAGATAAGTTTCCAATTCATCTGTGTGATTTATGGGGTGGGTGTATATCTGTCGTTCAGCTGGAAGCATTAACTGTTTCTGAGCTTAATCCAAGGGATCAGGCACAGGGAAAGGTTTGTTCTCATGCACATGGGCACTCTAAGCTGTTAAAGTCTAATTGCACAGGTCCTGGGCAGTGCTTAAGAATATCTTATTTTTAAAATAGCTGGCTTTCAAATCAGTATTTTGCCAGTGTTATAACATTCCTAGAGCGCACAGCAGCATTTTTTTCGCTCGTTTGGATCATCCTGTGGAAAGGTTCAGATGTTCCTTGGCTGTTAGGATAGTGGAGAGTGGTCAGTGATCCTAAGTGGAGAGCAAGGAGCTCCTCTCCATTCTGTGTTTCTGATTCTAAATAAAACCACGCCTGTCTGTCTCAGGTTCGGGAGCGAGGGGAATGTGATGTGTGAATTCACAGCCAGGGATGGCATCCATGCAGTGACTTTGTCAAGTTGTCAGTGTCTTTGCAGCATGTTGTGCATATTAAATGACTGGCAGGTCTCATGGCTGTATGTCCCTGAGCCTCTCTAGAAGAAGTTTACAGCCATGCAAGTAGTGATGGTATTTGTTCTGAGCATAAATATAATTGAAAAAAACAACAAAGGTTTTCCAGTCTAGAAGATCTCACACATGTGTACCTGTTATAAGTTTTTTTGTAAATAAATATACTATTTTTATCTAGAAGCCACTCTTGCTCTGGAGCTTTTAGCACCTCTCTTCTGGCAGAAGGAATCATTACTTGCTTTACACTGGTTTTAGCTCTGATTTTCCATTCACTGTACACATGCTGTCTGGCATGGCTGGGCTCTGATCCCTTGGGCTCCTTTAGTTACCTCCCTAGGGAAGGTCCCAGGCTCAGCCATAACCTGTCACCTGCATAATGCTGTGTCACAAACAGAATGGGAACCTCACACAAAATTTATTAGTTGAGTCATGAGGTGCAGAAAGGACCCCCTTGCTTTCTGAACTCTCACAGAGCAGTCTGGGTGTGGCTGGATCCAATCTTAGCTCCAGACTGAGTCAACAGTTTATGTCTAAAGGATTATCCAGGTGTTACTGAACCTTTGTACAACTTTGTCCTGTGGAATTAAGGATGGAAAACCAGATATATTTATACAAAATATTTGTTATGATAATGATTGGACTAAAATATCTTAATCAGAATTATTTACTCCACTCTGTTTTAGCTATTAGTATAATTTAATTCTCTGTTTTTAAGCAATATTGAAGCAATCATGGGAAAGATAGCAAAGCCAATCAATAAATAGAGATTGATGTTACTGACTCATACCAAAGACTGTAGGCAAATCTCTTTTGCTCAGCCTTGAGGAATAACCTTGAGGGGCAACCCCAAGGGAAGGGAGGATCTCAACACACCCTCCAAGAAGGGGGATGGCAGAAGACCCTGCCATTAAAGACTGGGACTGATCAGTCAAAGTCTCCAGGCCAGCTGTGTCAGTTCAGCAGCTTCAGATAAGTTATCAGTAATATCACTTTTTCCTTCTTTTATCAGGCAGTTTACCCAGGCCAGCTACATCTTCACCTCACTCTCAGGATGATATACTCTTCTGTATATGTGAGAACAAAAGATAGCATTTAATTTTGGAAAAAGAAAAATAATCTACTTCAGATTTCAGAATTTCAAGTACTGTTATTCCCTTTCAAACTGCAATAATTTATTCTTTTCTGTAATGTAAAAAAGAATTGTTCATCAAATGAATACACAATGAGTGAGAATCAGTTGCACAAATAAGTTTGTATATATGCTTTCTTGAATATTTGGTAGGCCAAAAATGAAAAAAATTGAGGGCTAAAATATTTGCTGTTGACTGAAGAATACTGTAGGAGGCAGCTGGAGTCCTGCTGGGAGTGTATCTCCTGCCCTAAAAGCATCAATTTTTATGTAGGTGGGCAGGAGGATGTTGAAAGGGAGGAGTGATAAAAAGTAAAAATACCCAAACAATTAGTAGTTTTCTTTAATGTGAGGGAGAGGGGAAAATCCAGATGGGGTACCACAGGCTGCCTTTCCTCTTTGGTCTGCTGGGTAATTGGTGTGTGCATGTTGGTCAGAATCTGTATAGCTTTGAGCCAACTGGAGGAGGCAAAGCTGCCTGTCCTGTCCCCAGTAGGAATTCGGGGAGGTGGACCAAACTTTACTCATTCTGCTTATTTAATGATTTTTTCTAATAAAGGGTTTTTCGATTTAATAATCATAGGTAATTCTCCTTTGGGTTCTTATTCTGCCATTGAGACTCAGTCAGAGTGTTTCATTTAATATTGTAAGGTACAGAGTGTAGGAGTGTACTTCTAAGGTTATCAAAATATTCAGTTGCACAGGCACTTTCTTTCCAGCTCTGAACTCTGGATCTTTGCCTTTGAATTGCAGGTAGAATGTCGTCTACCAAAAGCCATATTTCTGGAGCTGACCTTGTTTTAAAACGGTTCAGATACTAAGTTATAAGAGGAGAAGCTGTGCTTCTCTCAGTCAACCCAAACCCCAAGTCTTTCATGTAAAGAGGAGTGTGCCAGAGCTGCTGTCTCCTCTGATTTAGGAGAGAAAGAGAATAAATACCAGATACCTGCTAATGTTTGTGAGGAAGGATTCAAAAGTAAAATCTGCATACTGCTAGCTGGCAATTAAACTGTTAAAAATGTTCATTGCAAACTACTTCTCTGAGGTACATTACCTGTCCTGATCTGATTCATTAACTCTTGGAAGAAAATGAGAGCAGGCTTGCAAATGCACCTAAAATTATAAAGACTGAACACTTAAGGTGGGGCATTACTTGTCTCAACAGCAGTGCAACTGTTTTGATTAAATTTTTGGCTGTTATAAGCCATCAAGCACCTATGAAAAATGACAGCTAATAACTTGTATGTTCTCTCCACTCTTCGAATGCCAGGAGGTGTAATGACTTCTTGAAAACAAGTTGTGTGTTGACAAGAGCTTATCCTCAGACTAATGCAGTTTTTGGCAAACCTGGTTTTAGTAAGGTAAGTAGCTTGTATATGTGTGGAGTTTGTTTTTTACCTGGATGTAAAAGCTTTAATTCTATGCAACCATTTTTAAAGGTACTTGCTTATCTTTGGATATGTTGTGGGTTATTATCTCTGAAGTTCTCTTTAAGAACTGTTGGCTTTCCTAAACAAAATGCTTATTTTGTGTGAGCAGTCTTGCTGCACTTAATACTTCAGAGAAATTATGGCAGCACTGTTTTGGGGTTTCTTTCTTAACACTCAGGAAATACTACAAGATGGTAATATACAGAATGCTGAATTCTCTTTCTTCATCCAGTATACATGATGGGATTTCTTTAACAAGAGAGCAATGCTTTTTTAAGAGAGGTGGTTCTTTGCTCCATCTCAAGAAGTAATAAAAGATCTTTTAAAAGCCTGTAATGTTGAACATGCTGGACAAAATACTCTTGAGAAGACAACAAGGACATATTTAGTAGCAGTTCTATGACAAGCATAAAAAGGATGATGGCAGCTTTTGGTTTTGTATGTGAACTACTGGTGGTTTTGCCTATTACGACACAGCCAAAATTAAAAGATGTGTCTGGACTTTTTGTGTGTGTAGGTAAAGGACTTTCTACATTCATCTTGGAAAAGGAAGAAAACAAAACCTGCACATTTATTTTGTCACTGAGCTGTTCCTTTGTCATGTGTATTAAGATGTCACTGTCAATAAAATGTTGTATCAAAACATTAAGAGAAAAGCCATGTGAGGCTGCTGTGTAATGTGTTGATATTTTTCTAGTCACAAAACTTTCTTTGATCTATTGTTTTAAGAGGATTATATTTTTGAAGCATTAGCATATATTTTTATGAGAGATAAGATATCAAATGCATTACTTTTTTTTTATTCCCCCATAATTCTGTCAGGATAATTACGTGAAAGTGTAGAAATAAGATCTATATTCCATTCCACAAATACCAGTTTGATGTATGCTTATATTTTCACAATGGCATTCTTTATCTTTTTATTTCCTAATTTCTAAATTCCTAATTACCTTAATTTTCAACATTATGATGGCTGTTCTTCTGAAGACAGATATTGGTACAGCAAGAGATCAGCAGTGAATAGGCAGGAACTGTTTTATTACAGTATTAAAGTTTTTAATTGTATGTCAGTCAGCAATAAACATATCTTTCTCTTTTTGAAACCTGCAACATGAATGCATTTTAAAACAGTGAATAATGTGGGACACACATTCAAATGACCCATAATTTAAAAAAATTGCAGTGAAAAGACTGGCAAACATGACGCATTTACAAAGTGCTGTTTGCATCTCTTGAT